ATTCAAAAGCGTACTGGATTGCAAAGCAAACACTGGGTTGACTCTATTTACACAATAGCAACAGTGCTACCAGGTTATGCAGCAGATCTTGCCTTCTCTAGATCAGAACTTGTTTTTTTGTTTGAATGTTGTTCCTTTGACAATAATTAGGAAATGCATGGCCGGTGCACGTGATGGGAGTGCTGACTCCCTGCAGCTGAGCACATCCGCCCCCGCTGCAGCACATCAGGCCGCCGCTTGTGCTATCAGGAAGTTTGCAGTTGCTTCCTGCGCTTCTGGGCACCAATCTGGGTCACTGACCAGGTACAAAACAACTACCACACCCAGAAACTCCTTGTTACCGTCTAATGCATTTTGAAACGCCCTGTAATGTTTTTCATTAATCCAAATTGAACAGATGTTGTTTTATTATCACACACAAACAGCTAAACTAGTATGTGAAAAGGCTTTTTGTAAACCTGACCCCTTTTCCTTGTTTTGGGCTTTTAGTCTAGATCGTTTTGGAAAGTGGACAGTGCTTCTTTGCATGTTATGGACCCTTTCCAAAGTTGACATTTGGCTAGGTTATGGCACAAAATGTGTTAGTATAGAGACTGTTTTCCACATGAGGAAACAGCGGAGAGGTTCTGCATATTTGGCTCTCTGTCAAGATTTACTGGGTCGCAAAAAGGAACATAGCCCTCCTTAAAGGGATAGTTTAATTTTTGTTTTATAGGTGAGGGATCTAAGCGTTGGCAGATAAACAAGACTGTAAAAATACCAGTTTTATGTAGATAAAACTACACAATGTCATCTGATTGTGTTTAACACAAAAGCAACAATTATACATATTAGCTCAAAATAAATTGAGCATATTATTAATATTCAATTTTAATCTATAGATGTTTTCAAATAAACATGTTTTTATTAAATATTATAAGACAGTATCAACCTTTTATTACTCCTTTTTTCAGCCAGCTGATTGGCTGTGTGCAGCAGTTGTTTGGGAAGAATCCTTCCAGAATTTTTTTCTGACATTGAATTTAAAGTACTTTAAACTGTAGGAATGATGGAGTTCACTTTTTTAAAACATGGTATTACCAATAATTAGCCCATGCCTAAAGACCACCATTACTAATATTTTCCTTCACAAACTTTTTTTTTTTAAAAAGATGTTGAAATATCCCTTCACCATCATTCATTAACCCGTGCTTCCTGAGGTATGACAACTCAAAATCTGTGCCGTGAAAGAGGTCTATTTGCAAAACCTTTTATCACTCACGTGCACCAGGGGAAGCAAGCTCAAAGCACCACAGGAAAAAGCACTTCTCAGCATTTGCCGTGACGTTCCCCTGTACAAAGCTGGAAGTGTGTGACTTCCAGCTTGTCATCCATCTAATTTCCGAGCGAGCGCTCAACGCCGCTCGCAGAACGAGAAGGTGGGAGTAATTGGTAGAAATTCAGCCGATTCAGCCTGCTGCTAGGCAGCCACGGCTTCATCAGAAGCTCTGAAGTATGAAAAGTGTGTGTGTCAGTGTGTGTGTGTGTGTGCTTGTAAGTGAAAGGGTGACAAATTAGATGTAAATAATTGTAGTTGTCCATGCAGAAAATGTGACCGACTCGTTGAAAGTCAAAGCGCCTGCAAAATGGGATTAGTTTGGAGCATATTTTCATTTAAAATTCAGACTGTTTACATGCGATTCTTGCTCGTTAAATATTGTGTGCAGCTATATCAATAGGTTAAGCAATGTACTCCTTATTATAAATATATTAATAATTTCTGTGTGAAATCAAATATTTCCTGGCCCTTAGCTCCCCACTTTTACCAATTGCAAAGCCCACCAACACTGTGACAGCACATGTGGCTTCAGATAAGCCTTATCGGGAATGGCAGATGTAAATGTCTGCAGTAATCGGGGTGAATGCTCCTCTTCCAGCATCTCACATAAATTACCTGCTCATTTTTATTTTTACATTACAAAGAGTTGACACTCAGTGACGTGATTCAATAACTTAGGATTTATTTTTAAACATTGATTTATTTTTTTTAAACAAACCATCATTCTACAAAATTAGGATTGCTACATTTAGTGAATAAAAAAATTAATACATTACTATTTGCCTGCAGTTCTAATCATTGTGTTTTTCAACGATCATCCCACCTTAATCTTGGAAGATGATCAGTTTGATCTAAGAATATTTCAGTCATTGCTCCTCTTTAAAGGTTTGATTGCAAAGAAAGGCACGACAAGAACGTTTTAATTTTGTAGCTCCATTTACATACACTGAATACAAAAAAAAAAAAAAACATTTTTTTTCTCATAGTCTTAAATTAAATCACACCAAACTTTTCTTATTTTATTTAGAACTAAGAAAATTATTTCTATTTGCTAAATANCAGAAAACGNAGTGAGAATTTTTTTTTTGTAACTTTCCTCAACTTCAAAAGTTTAAGATACATTTGGTCAGTATTAGAGAAACTGCATTTTTTAATATATGATTTGGATGAAACATTTTGGGTTTCCTTCCACCTGCTAAAACGAGGAGATTGACCTGATTTAATTTCGGACGTAAAAAATGTGTTTGTGTCTTTTTATTCATATATGTAAATGTCTGGTTTCAACTGTAGGTAAAGAAAATGTTCAGCGAGCGAGGCTAGGTGTTTCTGCCTGGTACTCTTCATAGCCTGGAGAACTATTTTTGTCTCACAGAACATCTACGGATATAAAAGGTACAATATTTGCATATGTAAATATTTGTTTCATGCATCTAGTCGTGAATAATCTTCAGTCACTGTCTCTCTTATACTGCTGGATAGAAAACACCAGTTATTATCCTTCTGAGTGTTGCCTTAATATTAAAAAGCATCTTTTGAAGGGAAAAAAAAAAAGCATAAACTCTATGATAGTCACTGGGAAGCTAAAGATTCCTGTGAACGAGACAAGGACCTGGCTCCACTCCCCGGATTCAAAGATGGGGTTCTGGCCCGAGGTATCATCAAGCCTTGGTTCATCTGTTGAGACAAATGTTGAAGTGCAGTTTTAAAATCGATGAGGATTTTAAGATAATAATAAACATGACTGAACTCACCATTGTGAGACCTTTGGTGATGAGCGCTATTTCTGTTGGCTGGTACACACCGCTTCGAAGCTGACCATTGTAGATGCCATATGGAGACGTTGAGTTTGCCGGTTCTGCTAAACAATATTTGAACACAGATATAAGTCGAAGCAGGTTGTTCGAGTCATCTCTGTCAATTTTAATACCCACGCGACTCTCCCTAATCATTAAACTCCTGATAAAGACTTGTAAAATGGTTCTATTTTATTGCAGCATAATCCACTTTTACCATTATGGGAGTTATCCCCTACAATATTTTACAAATACAATATGTAGAAATATAGGATCTTTTGCACTGTGAGCATCTGAGGTTCTCTCTGGAGCACCCGTTTCTTCAGCTCAACCTGGCTGAAATTGCAATAAGGTTGATTTTGTTTCTGTGTTGATTGCTATAAACATATTTTTTTTTAAAGAGTCCTGATATGTTGAAAACCTCAGTCTATCAAGTATATTTTTGGTGCTAAAGTGTCAGAAGCATTTACAAAACTTCATACATTTATGTTTGTTGTGGTAGGTCAGAAAATACAACTCCTTGGCATCTTTCCTCAGCTGGGATGTAGATACCATAATTATTATGGCAAACTAGTGACTCTAAAATGCCGCTCTTTGTTGCCATTCTCTAATATGAGCATTGGAAATTATTATTTTTTTTCTATTTTTCATAGTGAAAGGGTAATCTGAGGTCGTCTTTGTATCAGGAAAACATAAAATTATGGATTAATTAACCATGTCCTTAAGTATAAATGCAATTTTCTTCATAAAATAAATGTTAGGGATTTCAATAAGTGGGGCATCAGCAATTTTATATATAAAAAAATACAATAAATTCTTAATGATTTATAATTTGGGTTTTATTTGCCTTATAAAGCTACTCAAATTAAATATAAGATTATTCTCTGACAACAAAATGTCAGTGCATTTTAAGTCTCTATTTTTACAAATCTGTCAGCGAATTTGCTTCAATTAAAAGGCTTTTCAAAAACAAAGTATGTCTCAATACTAAATGAATCCCAGTCATTTAACAGTTCCATGCAACACTACTCAGCAGAAGGCATCAGTGTTTTGAGACATTGTAAAATGTTGCCTCACGTTACAAATTTAACGGGCTGTAAAAACATTACACAAATGAAGTGAGCATGCTATAGTTATTGCATAGCTAAATCGTACTAATGACTTCTTTGGGTTACAAATGCATGTTGTGATAGCAAAACAGGTTGTAACCGGAATCAAACCAACCGTGTATGTTTTCGACCTAAGCCGTGTGTGAAACAGATGCAAATCTTTGGATAATTTGTTTGTTATAGATTGTTTTGCACCCATTGTTGCTCATCACATTAAAGTAAAATTTATGAAATGTATGCTGTTGTATCTGCTGGTGTTTCATCACTATTGAAAGTTTTATTCTCTATCAATTAAATCAGTATTTGTAGGGTGTGCTTGCATTACATAAATATTTTGCTTTCAGGTCATTGTGCATGCATGCTCTACCTTCTGGTGTTTCATCCATACTGAAAAACTTATTCTCTATGTACAGGTTCTGGGGCACTGGCTCCGGCTCCGACTCTGGCTCCGGCTCCTTCAGTGTGGAGTCGTACGTGAGGCTCCTGGCGGGATAAACATGCTCTCCATCATGGGGCTCCTCGAGGTCTGGGTCTTCTTGTGTCGTCAGAAGGCAGATTTCTGGAATTATGTAGAAGGCGAGGAACACCCAGGCATTTAATGCCACAGTTACAGCCAGGGTGGGATCATCCCAGCTGGGATTACCAGCCACTCTGTTTCCGTGGATGTACATGGTGATCCAGACTACCCAGATAGCTATGGTAAAGACTCCCGTGGCCAGGATGAAAGCACCATCTCGGCGCCATTGCTGGTGCTTGTGTGATAATGAGGGGAAAGCCAGAAGAACGACACCAACCATCAGAACCATTACATAAATGAGGGACAGTACAAAGTCCTTGTTGGCAATGCTGCAAGAGAGGTCAGGGACCACTATTTCTCCAGGTGGGCTCCAGACCACGGTGAGGACAAGCCATTCGGTGTTGATGATGACCTCAACGAGCCAGAGACTCAGAGCTCCCAGCCATAACAGCCAGCTCCTCGGCCCTCGTCCACTTCGTTTCAGCAGGGAAAGCCAAAGCGCATGCATCACCAAGCAGGCCAGGCAGCCTGAGAACAGCACTCCAAACAAGAACCTCCGAGCAGCACAGCTTGTAGAGTACTGGTCCACGATAAAGGCAAAGGTGAGCCCGAAGAGTCCTAATGTGAAGACTAAAATGCTGGCCTGTAGAGCAACCATACCCTTTCTCTTCTTGTCCGTGACAAATGGTAACGATGCCATGAGAATGATAAACAGAATAAAGGAGGTCATCACACCAGCAGCAGACACAGCCTCGACCACGACACCCCACAGCGTGGTCAGGTCACACAGGTTGTAATATATGGAGCTGATGTTAGAACCGCATCCTTTTGGAGCGCTGGTTGAACCCATTTCTCCAGGGGTTTATTTTTGCAGCACTGCAACAAAAACGGAAAAAAAAAAGAAAAAAAAAAAAAACATTACCTAAATATAACTTTATCATTACAGACAAATTGCTGTAGTTTTTCCAAACATGCCAGGTTATTATTGTCGTACACTATTATCCATATTCAGTTATTACGCACAATAAGAGGCATTCATGATGTTATTTATTCAAGTTTCCTAAGAAAACAAGTACACTTGACTTCATACATGCCTTAAAGGGCAAAAGTCACATGTTACAAGCAAAAAAATGCATAGGGGTTGAAAATATGAAGCATAAATAAATTATAACTTGCTATTTCATTCTTTTTTATGGCAGGTAATTTTGACAACAAAGTCATTCCTCTTTCAAACACAGGAGATGTATTTTATATATGGATAAAGTCATCTAAATCCATAGATTCAAATAAGCAATTGTTATACGTAAGACAATGACTATTTTCTTGATTAAAAAAAAATATATTTTTAATTAGAATGGACCTAACAGATGTGTGGGCACACAAAAAGATGAAGTAAGCAGTTTTGCAACAAAGCACAAGAAAATGGCTTTTAGATAGCTGTCCACTGTAGTGACCACTATGCATGAAAGGATTAAATTGGTGCTAGAGACTTTGTCATCACTTTGATACATGACATGTAAACCAAACCCAATGTTGAACGTTAAACTGTCGTTCTTGCCTTTTTTTTAAATGCTTTTTTAAAAAAAAAATATGTCTTGGTCTCTGTAGTGAAAATAAATAACATTTTTGTGGGCAAAATTCATGAAAACAACTGAAAAAGACAATATGCTATTAATGTTTTGATGCCCTTTAATAAGTCTATGAAAGTGCTTCTCTTAAAAAGTAATTTAAGGATTATGTCTTTTTTAGTCTGGTCAAAACAATTTGAATAATTTGTCATATTGCATTCCACCCATATCTGCTCCAATATTGCCACACAGCATGTTTAATTAAACTAATTTTAACTAAACCTGCTTGCTTAATATTAGTAGCAATTGTTACTTGAAAATTCATAAGCTTAATAGTATTTCCAGAAATTTAGCACAGCCAAGTTAAAGTCCTATTTTTTATCACTAAAACTCTACAAAACATTCCTCAATATAGACTCCTAGAACAAGTCTCTACCAAAGTAAGATGTTTTTGTTTCTTGATAAAATTGTGACATTTAAACAAAACGCTGAATTCAGAATTAAAAAGTTACATGCTCACCAGTATTAGAAAAGCTTATCCTCTCTCCAACTTCATACAAGAAAAGGAAAATTTGCTTGAAAGAAGAAATATGCTTCTGGTAGTTTTCCTTTGGAGTTTCACCTGATATATATAGTTTGACTTCTTTCTTCAATTCCAGGTGCTCATTTACTTGGCTGTCCACTGCTCTCCGTCCACCCATCCATCCCTCTGCCTCTCCTCAATCAGCCATCCATGTCATAATCGATTAACCTCCGGTACCAATGAAGCAGCAGCTCCAAATGAGTAGCATTCAGCAAATGCAATACTTTTTCCAAGCAACTAAGCTCCAACCTCTGTGGTGTTTGCAGCTTTGCATATTCTGTGAGATTAGGAACGGCCTACTTATTTGTTTGAGGCCGCTTACATCGAAACAATGGGACCACTCACCTCTCGCCTCATGCTCACAGGCTGCAGGCCTATGATTGGAAACTGTGGCCTGTTTTACATCCAGACAGCTGATGGTAGTTGACTTCAAAAGGTTAAACATTTGATATTTGAGTAGTTGTGAGAGAACTCTTTATTTATTTATTTATTTATTTATTTTTTATTTTTTTTATTTTTTATTTTTTTTGTAAAATACGTATATGTTGCTGTCATTAACTTCAAGCTTAGTTTTAATGCAATAAAGGGCACAGACTTTCAGAGTAAAACAACGATGCACCTGTTACTGCTACCTCCTCTGAGGCACAGTCACTTAAGAGATGCTGTGTGTCTGACCAGAGCCACCTAGTGGAGAGTATTATTACTGGGAATGGTGTTGCATGGTATAAAAGTCCATTTTTGCTGCCACAATATTTAAATATCTGGCCTGTACCTGTTAATTTCAAGATAGCACCCGGTTATTAGGATTTAGTTATTATATTTATGATATATAGTCAATATTATGAGATAGTATTCCACAGTTTTGTTTTGTTTTTTTGTATTTGTGCAACAGCACAAATACAAAGCTGTACACAGAGCAGAACCACCATATGATCTTTAAATTTTAATCTATTCTGAGAAATACATCATATAGCAGTTTCTGACACAAATGATAATATGACGCAAACTTTCC